CTGAATTTAATAGTTCGTGAAATTATACATATTTCTAAAAATTTAATACCCGATTTTGACGGTTAATGAAAATTATTTATGCCAAAATTGAATTTCCTGCATATGAATTTTCCTATGAAATACTGTTTCATGTTTTTTTGGTTCCTATAAAATATCGTTCATGTTGTTAAACAATCCTAATCAATTTTTGTCCTAATCATTTTTTTTCCCGATTTTAACGCTTCCCCGTATTGTCATCATTGGTATCAACAATATTGTTCGTTGTCATACATTCTATGGAGGCATGACCAGCACCGGACTGGAAGGGTTTCGGTCCACTATACTCTCTGTAAGCAAACGGCCTATTTTCCTACATATTTTATCGGCCTAACTAACAAAATATTAAATTGTCCTCAATAGTAGTATAGTAGCACAAGAATTAGGATTTAGGAACTCTTCAGTGGATATTTTAACTAAAATACTGGGTGACAATGATTTATTGTAAAGATTTCGATGTTTGTAAATTAATGGGTATAATATAATTTTATTTACTGATTATTTATTATGTTTGATTTTGTTATTTATTTATGACGTATATCATTTCGTTTGACAAATTATTATTGAGAATGGAAAACCCATGTGACCGTTCACCGTAGCGCCTGTAGCCCGTAGCCTATCCATAGAATAATACAATGCAAGAATAAAGCAATTTTTTCGTGCGACATGTTTCATCTAGTCGTCTGCAGTCGTCCTGGCAAATATCTACCAATTGATTATTTTGGATTTTTTTTAGTCCTTGTTCCTACAAGCTATTAGCTAAATAATTATTTCACTTTGAAAGTTTGAACCTTAAAACAGTTTAAACGTCCAAGCCTTCAAAGTAATACGTCATACGGTATTGCGACGACAGGACAACTTTCGTCTTTCGGTAAGTATAAAATAATATAAAATCTAATATTTTATACTTAGACTTAAACTAAATACAGTACCTATTTTCAATAATTATAATTTATTACGAAATACAATAATACTAAATGAAATATATATAATTGCATAATATGATACCTACGTATAACGTATAACTTTTGGTTATAAATATATTATAGTAAAAATAATAGTATTTATAATCAATGGTATTACGTATTGGTGTAATATTATTAATATTCTGTGAATTCCTGTGAATTTCTGTAAATATTCAATATAATAACTATTATTAAAAACTATTTTTTATTAACAAATATAATATTTATATTTTGGATTATTATTACTTATTTATTTTTAATTCATTTTTACAAAATGGAATATTTTTTAATCTGTGGTTTAGGAATAAAATTAACTTAACGTGACAATGAAATAAATGAACTCATAAAACATAAATTACTAAATAACACGGAAAAACTGTAACTCGTTATTTAAGTTAGTTAAAAGTAACTTAACTTTTATTAACAATATTGATTCCATTTTTTGTAATTAAAAAGAATTAATTTACCTAACTCATAAATTATTTGTAATTATTTATGTGTTGTGAGTTTTTATGGTATTGTTAAATACAGATAATGTTTTCTATAATATTTAATACTGAAAAGTTTTTTATAAGCTCATAGTATGTTGATTTTGATAGTTTTGTGAAATTTTTTTTTAGTGTCACCCATGCAGTGGCCAGTGATCATTCCTTAAGAGGACGTCTCACCCGCATGTATTGTCTCCGTCT